GCTAGGTACTTATGCCAACTCGACTCTTCTCTCATCGTTCTCAGGTAAGTGGGTATGCGACTTCTAGAGGCAACGTCGCTTGTTCAACTTTCTGATCTCATTCTTCTCCCCCAGTTTCATTTGCCCGACCCACCGCTTCTTATCCTTCAATTGTTTGTTTCCTCTCCCTTTTCCGATTCATCGTTTGCTCTTCCATCTCTAATTCTTTCTTCTTCTTTGTTTCTTCGTTTTCCTCATTTCTTCTCCCCCCGCACACAACCATTACAGCTATGTACAATATGCCAAGCCAAAACTGATTAGCAATGAAACACTAAAAATTAAATTTAAATGTTTCAGCCAAAATGATAGAAATGATGTAGGCATCAACCGATATTTATAGCTAAAATTCAATCCTAAAACTTACTAGATCAAAAATTGATCAAAATTATGAGCCATCCAATAACCAGAGTTGGGTTGGCTCGAGATCGGATCATTAAAAATTTAAATATAACCATGTAAGATGAAAATCAAATATATAATCAAGATAATAAACTGTGGATTAAACCAAAATACATATACAGTATTTAAAGTATAGAGAATCTTATTAAATGAAAAATGAGTTTCTTGAAGCAACTTTCAACACTAAGATATAACTACAATCAATTGATGGAGAAATAAAACAATAATAATGGATGAAAATTTAACCTTAGGATGTCCATGCTGCAAGCAATAGGAGGATAGATCAGTGATTTTCCATTACCAACACATGAAACAGATGGTTACTCAACAGTTGGAATCATTCACATTCATATCTATGTTTTTTTATCTGACCTGAAGCCTCAAAACATAGGTAATTAAGTATGAAACAGCAAAATTTATCTTTAACTAAAAAGTAAAAAAAAGGTAGAGAATCCATTATGATAAATAAGAAACGAACATTGCAGCCAACAGTATCCGGTTCAAAGTAGAAGAGCATCCACATTTAACAATTGGAGTAAAATTTCACCAAGTGTAATAAACAATTTACCTCTTTCAAAGCTCCCCCTGCAATCCTAGGAGAGCTAGAACAAGAAGAAAGGTATCGACTACCAGAGTCAGTGCCATTAACTCTTGAATCATCCATGCTTCCAGCATAACTGGCGACACCAGCATCATTAGGCCAAGCACTGATTCCATAATTGCCAAACTGAAGATTAATGGGTTCTGCCTTGCCAATCTTCAAGGGACCATACATTGGGCTTCCTACACAGCTCTCACTTCCACTGTTTGAGCCAGGCATTGCCTTAACATTAACGGACTCCACCGGCCAAGCCTTAGCAACAGACCCATCCGTATTAACCAGTGCTATGAGATGTCTAGAAGATCCTAGCCTCTGTATCAATTGAAACATTTTTTTTGAAGTCAGTGAGTTTGCAGCACATTGGTTTCTATACTCTTCATCAACTATGGTTATTGTATTCGTGATTGGATCATAGAGTTGCTCTCCTGCCTCTCGCCTCCTCAGGCAGCTAAAAACTGTAGCATGAATTGCAGCCACGCTACGATCAACATTTGTGTTATTTATCTTGGGCACCAAATGTTTGTTCGCCCGGTTGCAGAGATAGTCCTGAATCCTTCTTATGTTCCGAATATATTTTACATACTTATTTCTTGCAGGGTCCAATGTCATATATTTAGCACGCACCGCAAACCTTTCCATATGTTTGTCCTCATTCGCAATATAAATCATGAATGGTATAATTGAAGGATGCTTTTTCATTAGCCCCATCTAGAATATAAGAAAAAAAGGAACATTTAGCATGCAAATATAACAAATATGAAAAATCAAATATAAAGAGGACAAGAATATATCATTTTGAGAGCCAAAACATGCGCTAGTACCTACCACAAAATTGAGACTCAGGTGAACTCCTTCTACAATAACAGATTGCTTCCGATTTTCCCACGCTGTAATCAAACGATCAAGACTGTCAATAACCATTTCACTCTGTGCCTTGAATCCCTCAACTGCCATCTGCTTTTTGCCAATTTGGTCGATACCTGAGCCTCCATCCGGTGATTGTTTCTCACACTTTTCAGATGAAGCATTATTGGACAGCCCTTCCCTAAAAACAGGGTTGGAAACACCAGCCAGTCTTTTTGCTTTCCTTCTGGCCTTCGCTTCCGCAACTGCCACAGGATCTAAGTAATCACCAGCATGATATGTAGAGGACCACAGAAGTGGATTTTCTTTTTCATCTACAAAGCTTCTCATCATGTGCCGAATTGAATCAGTTGAAATCACAGTTGTAATACCCAATCTGCTTCCCTGCATGAAAATTCTCTAGTCAAATCACATGAATAGCACAGTTCTTAGGGATAAAAGAATGAAATTTTCTTTAATGCAAATTCCTTTCATTAATGAAAGCAAGATGATGAAATTA